GTAATTTTGAGTATCAACCATGTGAAGTTTAATTTCGACTATCCATAAAAAAAAAAGCTTAATTTCTACCATACTATAGTGAGGTTTTATTAAAAATTAAAATTTTATGAAAGGATAATGTAGGAGACCCTGCAGATTCACGTCAATTTCCTCCATTGTGTACTCCATTAGTCCACTTAATTACAGTGCTTTAATCAAAATTACTTTTATAAAAAAAAAAATAAAAGGATATTATTATTTTGGTCCAAGGATAATTTTGTTGATGATGGCATTTTATTAATGAAATCATATATGAAGTGGAAACTGAAAAAATGAAAATGTAAAAAACCCACTCCATCAAAAAGATTGCTTTCACTTTTTACTCTCTGTCCGTCCAAATTTCCATCCTCCATTATGGGATTTATTACTTCACCCTTCCTTTTTTGTCATCCACTCTAATTAAATATCTTGTTATGTAACTCAAAATAAAATAAAATAAAATAATAATAATAATAATAATAAACTTTTAATATGAGTCATACACTATCAATGGATCTTGTTCTCTTCTTATCCTTAGAGAGGTTTTTAGATAAAAATTAGTAAAGGGAAGGGGAGGGGAAGTGAAAGATAATATTTTTATTTAATTAAATAATTTTTAAAATAAAATAAAATAAAAATAAAAATTTTGAAATTCATTAACTAAAATAATAATTGATATAAAATAAATTTATATATTTATTTTTTATAAAATTAAAAAATATATATGTAAAACCTATTCCTTTCAATTCTCTCAATTTGAAGGAATTAAAAACAAAAAAATGAAAAAGGTTCTATCTTCCTCCCCTTCATTAAAATCAATAACCCAAAAATAAGAAGAGGCATCTTCCCCTCCTTCTCTTCCCCTCCAACGTCCCCATACCATCCTATGGCTAAACCTTACAAAAGCATTGTCTCAAATCAATTTGAGCGGCGAAATGCAAACACTGATGATGATGATGATGATCAGAAGATATTTGATTGAACCTCGAAGAATTTGTTGATTACATTTACAAATTATTTGGGTAACCAATTCAAATCTCCCAGGCAATTCGGTTCGCGATCTCAATGGATAATTGGAAATCAGATGGAAAACCAGTCCATTTTTTATCGCTATGGACTGACTCGATCCAACTCAGTCTCCCTCACAGCTAATAGTCCG